CATGAGCCAAAACAAATCTGTCCGTACTTAGGTTGTGGGTATGAGGCATTTTGTCAAGCAAGGAGGAAAGTGACTAAGACAACTCAACAAAATTTATGACAACAAATTTGAAAGCTTAGAAGAAATGGAAAATTTCTTAGCTAGATACAAATTGCCAAAATAGATCCAAATGATTTTAATAGATTGCTTACCATACAAGACACTGAAAAAGTGATTATACGTTAACCCAGGGAAAAAGGCACCAAAACGTGATGAGGCCTTTTCAAAATCTTTTTATAGATTAGTTTTCATCTCACCTTTAAAGGACACATGATTTTAAGAGTAATTGTGGTATCATAGGCCAGAGAAAAAGAAGGAATATTCATTCAGTAATACTTTTACATGAAAATAATACAAAAATATGAAATGATTCCAATCTCATTCATGAATACTGAAACATTATGCTAAATAAAATACTGATAAGCAATCCAGTGATCCAGGAATATATCAAAATAATAACATACTATAACGAATAGGTTTATTGCAGTAACGTAAGAGTAGTTATTTTACTACTGTATCAAAAACTTAAATAAGAGCCTGGTGCAGTTTCCTATAACTGTAATTCCTGCTACTTGGGAGGCTAAGGCAAGAAGACCACAAGTTCTAGGCAAACTTGGGAAATTTACACAGGCTTTGTCTCAAAATAAAATTTTAAAAGAGCTGTGGAAGTAGCTCCCTGGTAGAGCAACTGAGGTATAAGGCCCTGGGTTCAATGCCCAACTGCAAAAAAAAAAAAAAAAAAAAAAAAAAAAAAAAAAAAAAAAAAAAAAAAAAGAGAAGAAGAAGAAGAAGAAGAAGAAGAAGAAGAAGAAGACGACAACGACGACGATGACGATGACGACGAAGAAGCAGAAGAAGAAAGAAGGAAAGAACAGAAAGTTTAAATGAAGTCTAGGGGTGCCAGCTGGGGTGGTACATGACTATAATCCCAGCATGTGGGAGGCCAAGGTAGAAGGATTGTAAGTTTGAGGCCAAACTGGGCAACACAGTGAGTTCAAGGCCATCCTTGAACTACATAGTGAGATTCTGTCTCAAAAAATAAAGACAAAAATAACCCCAAAAAACAAAAAATGAGGGTCTACAGGTATAGCCCAATGGTAGAATGCTTGCCTAACATGCACGAGGACCTTGGTTCCATCTCCAGCAGCACAAAAATAACAACAAAAATAAACGAAAAACAAAACCTACATGGATTAAGAGATGTTGAAAAAACACTTTATAAAAAACAGCAACTACTACTGTCTTTTCAAAATATCTTCAGTGAATGTGTAAACTATTTAAACATAACAGACTATTTAACAAACATCAATAGGAATGATGGAGGAGTACAGAAATCTAAAATCAGTTTTAGGCTGAGTACAATTTTTTATTTAGCTCTGTCTTTGGGTTTCTAGCAAATGCAACAAGAAAATGAAATACTTCATATAACTACTGGAAAATGTAACAACACAATATTTGTTATGCCAAATATACAATGACATCACAGCAATATTAACAGTGGAGGGAAGGAGCTTTTAAAAACTCTAAAGAGAATAGCATCTAAAAAGGATAACTGGTTACAATCAAAAAACAAATGGGCAGACTACCACAGCTAGTGACAAATAAGCCAGGGGTGGGGGGTGGTTAGATACCCTAGAGCTGGTAATCAGATGTGATCATCTCCAGCAAACAGCTAAGCTTTGCTCACAAGCCACATATTCTAGCCTCAAAGGACATAGATTCTGTAGGGCCTCTGTTAAAACAGTGCACTCTTTTAGCCTGAAACAAATTAAACCTGAACTTCCTGTTCAGTGAGTGACTTAAATTCAATATAGTCTCATATTCATATGAGTATCCAAGATCAAGGCCTTATACCTGTCGTCTGCCTTATAAAGTAAAGGTTTACTGCATAAATAAACTGTGCATTCAAAAGAGAGTATCTGTCTGTCTCATCTGACCTATTCACTTTCCTTTAGTCTATTATAAGGTGTTTATAATAGAAAAGATAAAATTAAAATAAAATTTACCAAAATTAACAAAATAATTTGGTAGGATAGCTAAACATAAATTAAATATTTTAAAAATCTGTAACCATTTCTAGTCTAGCGAAAAGTACTTAGGAATGAAGAGAGGAAATATTCCACTCATAACAGAAAAAAGCTGTTAAGTTTTAAGCAATAAAGTATCAAGAAAGATTTAGAGTAGATAAGAAGAAAAGGACAGATCTAAATCAAAGACATAAAATAAGATGTGGACAAATGGAAATAATTGCCATTTTGTAGAAAGAAGAACTAGATAATAAAAATATAAAATATAAATTTAATGTAATTCTAACTGGAATCTCAATAGAGTTGGGGAATTAGTGAGTAAAAGTGATGTTAAAATGTGTATGCAGGAAAAAGTACCAAAAGAATAGTCCCCCCAAATTTTAAGCTAATGTACTCAAATAAATATAGTCTTCATAAAGATACAAATATATGAAACAGAAAAATCAATAAATAGAGCCTAACATACAGAACATTGAATAGTTGACAAAGATGCTCGTTCACTTCATAGATAATTAACATATTATTTAAAACTAGTTATCCATCTTTGAAATAACAATCTTAAGCAGGACAGGAAATCCAGAAGTTAAACAAGAGAGTCATATTAAATATTAAAAATGTAAAAAAAATAAGTATATGGGTATATCATCAACAAAGTCAATGCATACACATTTGGGAAAGATATCTTAACAATAACAACTGATAAAAAGACAATATCTAAAGTATAAAAGAAGTCTTATAAATTAAGAAAAATAGCCTATAGGAAAATTAGCAGATGATATGAATAGACAACTCAAAGAAAAGTAAATTTAATCAGACAAAAACAAATAAAACATAATACTAAAATTCACTAGACTAGTAGCCAAGGACCAATATGCCATACATTGTCAAATTGTAAAAGAATCATAACACCTTTTGCTTATAAGAATATGAAGAAAAAAATAATCTAATATAGTACATAGAAAAGCAAAAACTAAAGTATAATGATCTATGTTTCAAAATATGGCACATTTATCTATATAGATATGCACATATTCATATATATATATGTATATATATATATATATATATATCTACAATTTAAAATCACCAGTACATAAGGGCATATGCACAATGCCCTTAAAACTAAACTCTGGAAAGAAAGTGAACATTCATTGACAGAGGAATGACTAGATTAATTATTGTGTATACATGAAATATTTTGTAGCCTAATGAAAGAATAAGACCCATACTAATAGAATTGATAAGTTTGTATGATACAGTGTTGAGTTAAAAAACCAAAGCGGGGTTGGGGAATTAGGTCAGCCATGCTACCACCTGCCTCACAAGCACAAGGACCAGAGTTTGATCCCTGGTACCAAAAACAAAAACAAAAAAACCCCAAAGTGTATTAAGGTATATGTAAGATTCTATTTTTGTAAAAACAACAACCACAAAACATACTCAAACTCACAGGAGTGTGTGTGTGTGTGCACGCACGTGTGTGCGTGCATACGCACACACCTATGAAAATGGAGAATATAGAAAAAATGTAGAAAGATATATAGTTTTGGTAATATGAAGGGATGGCATGAAATGGTAGCACTAGAAATGAAATCAAAAAAGAAAAAAGGAGGGGGACAATAAAACTAAGCACCATAAAAAATAAATTTAGCAAGCATTCTTCATTATTCATATATGAACATAAATATATAATGATATTAAATTAAATTTTGAAAAGATACAGTAAAGAAGCCAGTATACAATATGGCCTCTGCTTATTAAAAAAGAGAAGAAATAATCAAAATTATCTCTTGGGGGTAAGATTAGGGTTATGTCTATTTTCTTCTTTATATATCACTGTATTTTCTATAATGAGAATTGTTATTTCATCATAATAAAATAGAAACAATAAATGTTACATTTAAAACATTATCCTGAACAATTGAGCTCATTTTGGAAAATCAAGGGAAGGAAACAGGATTATATACTCCTTTCCTTCAGGATATATCTAAGTAAGAAATATATAAAATCAGGATCCATTAGCCCTCACCCAGTAGAAAGTTATCCAAAGCAACAAACTAAGTGGCTATCTCAAGGAGGCTATTTGATGCAGCAAATGGGATATTTTTCCCCCTACCTAACACTTTTATGACTTAAGTAAATCAGACAGCCATTTACAACACTCTCAATTATCCAAGGATCTGCTAAGCTCTTTACCTCCTGTTCTCTCCCATTGGCTTTAGGGCATTTCACTGCTCAGCAATAGCTACAAAATGAGGGACAGAGGAGGGAAAAAACAAATGAAATTAATTCAATTTGGTGTTTCATTAGCAACTGGAATAAAAGGTTTGATAAATTTGATGGTCACAACTCATATTAAAATAAGAGTTCCAGGACTCTTGATAATTTCATTTAAGTAAACTTCCTTCAGAGAAACATGATTTGTTTGCAATATACTTCAATGGATTAGATGCTTGCTATTTTTAAGAAAGTCAAGACTTGTATTAGGTGATATTTCTCATCTCACTTTACTTTTTACTTTAGAAAAAAACCATAAAAACATAAGAACAATGCCCTTCAATGTGAAGAATCACATCCTTAATGGACCAGTAGGATCACAATGCAAAGGTGCTTGGGAGGAAGGAAATGTAATGGCTCCCAGCATGCTCTCTAGAGCAACTTTAGGAGGATAGCAACCTTCCAAGAGAACATGCCTTGTCCATATGTCCACAAAAACTGGCCAAAAAGTCATTTATCAGGGCTTGACAAAGTCCACATTTCCATGTACAGTATTTCTCTGTTTCAGTGTACCCTCATAGTCTTTTATCCCTTGGTAAATCCCAGAGACAAAGTGATACAAGCCCAAGGCATTCAGAGCACATCATCCTCTGTTATCAAACAGATAGAATAGTCTGAATAGCAATAGCAATAGAGCAAAAAACAATTTTCTCTTACTTGAAGACCACAATAGCTCCTGGACATGGAGGACAGGCCAAGAGGAAGATCTGCAATTGAAGGATTAAGAATGGTTAGCAGCAAAAATGCTCACTGCAGACAGAGTGACTTTAATAACATTCAAACAATAATCCCCCCAAACTCTAACATCAAAATTTAAAAGGTAAAATTGTTAAGTTCTATGTATCAGTTAAAAAATAAAGAGGCAAGCAGGTGGCTTTCTAAACTACACGTTCGTACTACATGTTCACATTTGCAATACATGTATGTGTGAGGGATGGGGAGGGAGAGTGTGACAGGAAGAGACAAGATTCAATTTTTCAATGCTTCAAATTCAATATGACATGAGTACTCAATCGTAGAAGCTTTTAACCCAGGGCAGGTAAAAATAGATCCTGAGCCTGGAACATGCACACATATGCCATCTGATTTGCCTCCCATGGGGGTGAGTGGGTTTATCAATACCCACCACCAAATTTAGAACATAAAAATACAGGCCATGAAGTTATTTTGAATTCCAGATAAACAATGAATAATATTTCAGTATAAGTAGGTCCTAAATAGTACATACAGCATATTTATATTGCAACATTGTTCACTGTTAATCTGGAATTCAGATTTGACTAGGCTTCCTGTATTTCAACTGGCAACCCTATGAAACTGTCACCCCCAGGTTTCAAAGCTAAATTTGATTTGATTCTTTTGTTTCTAAGCATGCCTACGTGGTTCTTACTCTTCCATTTTCATCTCAGGGAAAACCAAACAGAAAGAATTTTGGCCTAGGAGACCAGTCAGTTTCTTGCTACTTTGTGTGACCTAGGCCTGGGCAACATCCTTTAAAACTCTGCAACTATTTGACCTTCAACTATGCAGTGACTCTCAAATGTCATCAAGAGGTACAGAAACTCCACTCCAAAACTTACTAAACAAATTTCTGTGTTCTCCCATTAAGAAGCTGAACTCCACAAGTCTGAGAACCCAGGAACCAGCATGTTTAAAAGAGCCCCAGAAGTCTGACTACTCCTCCTAACCTGACATACTGCACGTTTGATCCCTGAACTATGACAGAGGTCAAAGATATTTGGCAAGACTAAAATTGACAAAAGAATACAACTCGTGTTTGTGAAGTTCCATTACCTACAGTGACTTAGTGGTATGGTTTACAAAGTATTGATATGTGTCCTTAATTTTGTTGAGAGCTTTGATGAAAATAGATTATTTGTATAATGGACCTCTTAGTTCTTTAGCAATTGGTTCCTCAGTTCTCAGGGTCTACCTTTAGAAGAAAAGAATACTACAAGGAAAATCAGTATAAGGAAAGACATGTACTTGGCAGGTTGCATCCCTGCCAAGAGGAAGAGAAAGAAGAATGGGTAAAGTGTGGAGGGGTCTTAAAAAGAACACACCAGAAATCCATCACCTGTTCAATACTTCATCAAAGAACCCCCCCAAAGAAAGAGCCCGCAAGAACGTGCCTTTCCCCTGTGGATCAACTTGATCAAAAGTACAAAATCAATGATTCATAGGTCTACAATCCTTTATTAGCAATTGGCAAATCCAAACTGCCTTAAAAACTGAAGTTTTGTTTCTTCAAAGCGAATGTGGTAGCAAAACATGACTTGAATGGAGGTGACACTATTTGTACCTTATTGATTCCATGGTGAATGTTCATATATTTTTCATGAAAATAATAATAATGTATTTGATTGTGAGGTTCTTCCCCAGCTCTCCCCCCACACTGGGAGTATATGCTCATAACTCTACAATGTATGAAATTACCTTCCTAAAATCCAAAAGATTTCTGAAATACATCTGACTGTACTGGTTTTAGATAAGAATTGTAGACTCAGAATTTCAAAATCCAAACCTTTAACTTATCCCCACTCCCCTTCCCACCCTCAGATGCAGTCTAAGACAGAAATAAACAAAACTGATATTCTCTACCCCTGATCCAGCAGTAAAGTTACTCACGTTTGGCTAGGGACCAAGTGGAGGCTGCACCTAGATACCCACAATTGGGCCCACAAAAGACTACATTCTGAAGCTACAGTAGATAGAGGAGACAAGGGCCTCAATCACCTTGGAAAGGTCCTCAATACTTCTGGACTCCCCAGAAGTCTTCCAGACACTTCCAACATACTAAACGAAGAAGTAAAAATGCAACACTGGGCCTCATAGCTAAGACTTACTTTTCTATACCCACAGCCAAGAGGGGAAAAGCAAATTCGGGGGTGCTATTCTGAGTTAGGTCTAAAATGTCCCCTCAAGCTTTCATATATTCAGAGATGGTGTTTTGGAAAGTGACTGGATCATGGGAGTGCTATACTCATTAATAGATTAGTCCACCGATGAGTTCAAAGCTGAATGTGTTGTTAAGAGGTGGAGTGTGGCTGGAGGTAGGTCACTGAGGGCATGACCTGAAGGGCGTATTATTTTCTCCACCACCCACCTCCTTCCTGCTTGCCAGGGGATGAACAGCTATCTTTTTCCAGGTTCTTCTACTCTAATGTTTCTGACTTGGAGCCTGCCAACTTTGGACTAAATCCACTGAAATCCATGAGCCAAATTAAACTACCCTCCTTTAAATTGTGGGTGCTGGGTATTTTGTCCTAGTGATGCGACAGTTGACAAATACATGTGCCAATTTACCTATAACTCCATCTGGCTGTTTTTTATCTTCCCTATGTCAGAAGTCCAGGAACCTTCTGTAAGGAACAAGCGTTTAGTTCCAACCTAGTTGATTGTCCTATTACGCTCCATAAATCATGGAGCTATCTTCTACTCTTGATTCTAAATGAGTTTTCCAACAGTTAACTTTCATGAGACTAAGTCATTGTAATCAGCACTCTGGCCTTCATCATCTTGCTGGTCTCTTCCCATTAAAAGATAAGAGTATCTTTTTTTCAACCATCTTTAAATCCCATACAGTAAATTTGAAAAAACAAAATCTGAGTGTGGTGGCGTACGCTTGTAATCCCAGCACTTGGGAAGCTGAGGCAGGAAGATCACTGCAAGTTCAAGACCAGCCTGGGCAACATAGTGAGTTCCAGGTCAGTCTCAACTACGTAGTGAGACCGTGTCTCAAAAAACAAAACAAAACAAAACAAATTCATCATATTCTATTTTTAGTAAGCCATGACCTCCTTCAGCAACCTCAACAATTTATGATATTGAATCTCTCAGCTCTGACATGCCAGGATCACAGCTATCATCACTATTAGCCAGTAAATGTTGTAAAACTAACATTTCAGAGGCCCAGCCTTGGCATGACTATCCTTGCTTTCATCCTTGATGGAGTTCCAATTACCTCCACACTATGGTAGCATGTGTTTTAGCCTAACAGACAGAAAGCTAAACTAGGGCCAGGGATTTAGCTCAATGGTTCCACTGCCTGCCTAGCAAGTGCAAGGTCCTGAGTTTGATCCCCGATACAAAAATAAAACAAAATACATAAATAAATAAATGAAAAGAAAGCTAAACTATACCCTGGGCTTCAAACAGAGGAGGAAGAGAAGACAACTGTAAGTGCAAACAAACGTGAGAATGCCCCGATACTATCCCAGGAACAACCTGACACATTATATTCCTGCTAAAATCTTCCCAACTCATCCACTGAAGTAAAAGGCACAAGCAGGTGACATATAGAGAAGAGCTATTATAAAATGCTACTTCCCCATCACATGGGAGGTAGATAGCAGTGTGTTATTAAATCTCGTTTTAAAGGAGAAGAGTCTAAGGAAGAAAAGTTCTGACAAGTGAGAATCCAGAACCCCTAATTTCCAGTTCAATGCACTTTCCTTGTCACATCCAACAAAGGTTAGGCTTCAAGGAAGCATATCTTCTTTATAATTTAGCCTTGCCCCTTCCTTGGCTATATGGCACACGGGGAGTCTCCCCAATGGTTACCCATCTGTGCCACTAGATGATTCATAGGATGACTGATAAGATCTACTTTCTACCATGAGACATGTCAAAACACAAACTCAACACAGCACCAAATCATACTCACATACATAACATTCAGTGTCCCACATTCCTCAAAGATGGGCTCATTTTAGTTCCAAATTTATTGATCCCCAAGTCTGGTGGGCACCACACTTGCAATTCTTGAATGCTTACAACACTGGGTTCTTTTTTTTGCTGATTATTCCAGAAAAATCCACCAATTCCATTCAAATCCACATTTGCTTGGCTTCCACAGGAAGAATCCCTGTACTACTGAAAGGTTCTCCTGTCCAAAAACTTGTACAGTAAGCTCCTTTCTAAGCACTCAATCAAGGCATCAACAGCTGTCCCAATTCCTCCTCTACTTTTGAACTCCTCTAGTTTAAGCTTCCCACTATCCCCCATCCCCATCCTCTCAGCCATCACTTGCTCTGATTCCTAGTCCTTTTCCCAGTCATATCAGCCCCGAGCTCACTGCCATCACTGTTCACCCTCCCATCTACTTCTGCACTATCCCGACATTAGATTCAATAAAAGACCGTTTTTACAGCACATAAAGAAGATAGCTCTTGTTCACAGGAAGATGCTTGTACTAAGAGAAATGTAACTGTTAAGAGGGGACAATCACTACAGACCATCCTAAAGGAGGGGCTAGCCAGGTTATGCAATAATCTCCCCAGGCCCGGTAGTGCTGCTCCAGTTCTCTTGATTCTACCTCTTACAATGACACCAAGCTATATAGGGATTCCTAAGGACAAGGGCTTATGACCATTATCTACCTTAGGGAAGACTAACTACCTGGGCTACCTAAAGTCTGTCTTATGACTCTATTTATGAATGCTCATACCTTTTGGGCCCTCATCATCTTCCTCTGGACCACTGATAATCTCTTCACTGGTCTCCTGCCTTGAGGTACACAAGAAGGACTTACCTAAACTGCAAATTTAATATGCCATTTTCAATTTTCCATGGTTTGCCAGGACCTACAGAAAAAGCTCAAGGGCCTCAACATAGCATGCAAGGCTCCAGGCTTCACCTCTTTTTGCAGCATGACAGCCTCATGCATTATGCCAAACACACACCATGTTCATCAAAGCCTTCTACA